CTAAATCCCCAGCCCTTCTTCTCTCTAACTTTGTAATTGAACCCTAAGTTCTTGCTGCAGCGCTTATATTTGGTGGTCTGTAGGGCTGTAGTTGAATCCACCAGTGTGGTTAAGGGAAATCCAGCTAGTAGGCTCTCTAATTGCTGTATAGTTTTGCAGAGTTCCTTGGGGTATAACTCGCCCCACAATCTGATCAAATTCAACTTTTGCTCCTTCACAAGGTTTACTTTCTGAGGTCAGGCTTTGGGTTGTATTCTTTCCCTGCGAGGATTGTTCAAAGCTATCTCTTTCCTGGTTTTCTTTGGTAAAGTAATTGATCTACCTTTCTCTTAATTGCTTACCACAATAGTTTCTGAAAGTACCTTCAAGCTGGACTTATCCACACTTTGCTCCAAGGAAAGTTACTTTGGAGAGAACTTGGAGCTACCTAGTTCTTTGGGATGCTTCTGCCCCTGGACCAAGCCCCTGAATCATTACTCTAGAGCTAGGAGCATGGGTATTGGCTCGCTTCTCTTGGAGTGACACTCCTGCTTGGTGAACTCAGCCCAGGGCAGAGGCATTAGTTCCGGATTTCCTCCACTCCCTCATCTAGAATGTATCTTCCATCCTCAGTGAGACAAGCGTGAGCAACTAAGCTCAGTGTTGTCATCTTGTGCAGTCAGGGGGAGGACCCCCAGCTCACACGTGAGAGCTGAGAGGAGGAAGGAGCCTCACTTCCGGGACACCCACCTCTGGAATGTAACATGGCAGCATGGGGCTGGGGAGAGGTAGAACTGCTACCTCCCTCAGGACAGAGGAGCCCTCGATCCGGCTACAGGGAGACAGAGCTCCATCTTCTCAGTGCCACGCAGCCTGGAGCGGTGCTCCCACCATGCTGGCTTTGTGTGGAGGAGAGGAGGTTTCCATGGCTCCAGTGCAGAAGATCCCTGATGTGCTTGCTTCTGTTGGGTCAGTTTTCTTGAATATATGCACACATTTGCTCTGTTCCCTTTGGAAAATGTCTAGTCTTTAAGTGGATGTTTTCCACTGAAGTTTCATGTTTAATGATTTTCGCCAGTGTGGTTCTTCTCTGATGACCATCCTGATGCACCCCCGCACTGGGAATGGGTTCAGTATGCAGTGGTCCCCCCGGCCACCTGGAGGGGCTGGAAGTGTCCGACCTCTCATTCCTGCTCATATTTTTATTTCACTTACTGTTCAAATGTTAGTAGTTTTTATGGTTCTCCTGACATAAGACTGAGAATTGAATATCATTTTCTAGGAGGAACAACACTGTGGAATACAACCCCGACTTTGGTACTTGGGATTTTCTTCTCTTTCAGTGTTACCCTTTTCCTTAACATTCAAATTAAATGATCTTATCTTTAATTCCACACACTGTAAGAAGCATAACCATTTTCTTCCATCTTCTTGACATCTTGAAATGCTTGGAGTTCCACACGTTTTGAAGGGATTCTAATTTTTAGAGACATGTCTGACTTCTTTGGGGGGGGTATTTAAAAGACTTCACTGTCTCACTGTCCTCTTTCATTTTTTCTCCTTTCCACTGTATATATTGCTTTTCTCATGTTAGATGTTATTCCTATGTTTCACTAAAACATCTCTCACCCAAAGCTAGGGGTGTGCTTGTGTGTGTGCATGGTGGGCTCGGGATCACCTCCCACCTCAGGATCTCCATGTCCTCATTCCAAACACCTGTGAATGGGTTACTTCCATTGCCAACAGCCTTTGCTTATGTTCTTTTGCATTAAGGATGTTGAGGTGACGTGATCACCTTGGGTTACTAGGATGGGATGATGTAATCACAAGGTCCTTATAAAAGGAAGGCGTCTGAGTTAGTACTGGAGAAGCAACATGGAGATGAAGCTGGAGACTGCTGTGCTCACAAGTCAAATGCCAGCAGCTTTGAGAAGACAAGTGAAGCAAGAAATAGATTTTCCTCTAGAACCTCCAAAAAAGGTCAGTCTTGTGGGCAGCCTTGCTTTTATTTCACACCACTCATGTCAGACTTCTGGTTGCAGTAACTATCAGAAAAGGGTTTGTGGTGGTGTTTCAACTGACTGAATTGGTGGTAGTTTGTTCCAGCAGCCACAGGAAAAGCCACAGTGCAGCACACTTCTCCTGGGGCTGAGATGAGGGAGCAGCAGGGCAGCTGCTCAGCCAGACCGCTGCGCACACCGGGGGACGTCCCCCGAAGCTGACCGCTCGCCCAGCAGTGGCTGCCCTTGCTCTGAGACCTTCCCCTGGCAGCCCCAGCCTTCTTTCCTTCAGAGGGGTTTTTCCGTCCTATCTTATACTTTTCCAGCTCTTTCCGTGACTGCCTGATGGAGTCCCTAAAGTCCTGGTAACTTGTTTTCTGGGAGAATTTAGCGACAGTATCTATCATCCACTTGGACTGTGCCAACTTCCTAAACCACCAGTTGGGATCCAGCCTTAAGGTCGTGTTTGTCCTCAGAGGTAGAAGCACAGATTTCTTTTTAAATCAAAGACCAAGATTTTATTTCTCATGAGATACAAGTAAATGCCCTACTGTTTCTTTTCTGCTGTGTAAACTCAGGTTCCTCATTTCCACTCACTTATTAGATTTCCACCTTCCTCACACTCTGTCCCTCACTGTCTTCATTCACATTGTGTTCCTCTGACTTTAAACCCCGGTCATGTAGTCAGTCCATGCATCGTGCTAACAATCCTTTGTGTCAATGGGCATTTTTTTCTCTAAAAGTTAATATTGTGTCAAAACATTTTATCAGTTATCGGGGTCCTGCCATATACACATACTTGCACAAATGGCTTATCTATCACATCACTTAATTGTCACAAAAACTTACTAGTTACTACTTCTCCCATTTTATTGCTGAGTAGAATATCAGTATTTATAAAATAGAATTTTATTCTTCTGAATTATTTCTTTTCTGTATAATTGCCTTAAGCCGCTTGAGATGTATAAAGTAGTATGAGTCTGTTTTATTTTTCTGGGTGGAATAATCTCTCTTTCAAGGAAGATAACAGTTTGGACTTTTGGTTAACTTTGTAAAGTACTTTTATAGTGTTTAGGAATGCCTCAGAGATTTCCAAGTGGAACAAATAACAAATATCCCTGAAAGTGGGGCAGAGAAAGTTGCAGGGAGAAATTATGACATTAATTTGAGGTGAGATGAAATGCAGACAGACACGAACTCCCAGTGACTGGTTACACATATTAGTCACTCAATGCTTTTAAATGGGTTAATGTTCTAGAAACAGGTGTTCTTGTGCTCTGAAAGCTGCTTGCATTCGCAGTTAGGTTTGGCAGTAGATGAGTGAAGCAAAGAAATGCAATCTTTAGGAGTGGGTTTGTAGGAGGATTGTCTCTTTAACCTGGTAGAGGTCTGTCTGTTGCTTAAGAAAAAGAAATGCTTCCTTGCAAAGTGGAAGACAGGTATATCACATTTGCTTAAACAAGGATGAATTAACATTTACAAAATAACATTAAGCATGAGACAAGGCTTCACTTAGGTATTTCCCCATGCCTGCATCTTCTTGAAGGAGTAAAGACATCACATCACAGTAACGCACACACTCTCATGTACAGCGGCACAACTCATAATAGCTAAATCTTGGAAGCAGCCCATATGTCCACCAAGAAATGAATGGATAAAGAAAATATGATATTTTGAGTATTGCTTTGCCACAAAGAAAGGTAAACATAGTGACTTGTAAGAAAATGTATGCACCTTGAGTCTATGCTAAAGGAAATCCATCAGATCAACAAACTTAAATATCACATAGTTTCTCTTATATGAGAAACCTAAGATATAAATAAATTAAAGAATAAAATAAAAGACAGATAATAAGAAACAGGAGATATTTTGTAAATGAAGATACCAAGAGCTGAAGGGAGGAGAGGGAAAGGAGAAGGAGTAAAAGGGGAGAGGAAGGAGAAGTAGAAAGATTTAGATGTGTTATGTTCATGTATGTATCAACTCCCCACAATGAATGTAATCATACAGTAATCATGTACTAATAAAAAAAAATCTTCCTTTAAAGGATTTTAAGCACAGTAGAGATCAAGTTTGTGGTAAAACTTTCATGGCAATGATTTCATTTCTTGGAAAAGATAAACCTCAAATTTTGTGCTTTTATTTCTATTAAACATGTCTAATATCAAAACCCAGTCATTGCTTTCCTTAGTTATACTGACTTGTTTTGTAAGTTTGAAATTTATCCATAAGAAATTGCTTTAGGTGATATGTTTTCTTAATCTTATACAAATGTGTTCAAAATTTGTAGTTAGCTTGGATTTATCTCTGCTTGAAATACATTGTAAGGGTCAGAACACTATTTAATTTTTAAAAAATATATGTGTTGACTTAGCTGGATGTGTGTGTATTTTTCAAGCTTTCATTTAATCGATTAATTAGTTTGTACTTGGTGGGACAAGAGCAAGTCTGAGCCATGAGATGCTCTTCCAGTTTTATGCTCCTGTGTTCTGGGGGAGAAGGTGGCTGAATAGCTGCTATCAAGGAGATGTGATGGATGAAACATTCTTGGGCAAAAAGTTGTATTCATAAGGAGAATTGTTGTCCCATTTCCCTTCCCGCCCTGTGTTATTGACGTATCTTGCCTTCTTTCTGCAGAAGTCCCCGTTCTTTCTTAAAAACTTTCATGGGTCCTCCTGTATTATTTGTTCTTTCACCTTTCTTAAATCATGTTGAGTTTCTGGTGATCTGAACACTTAAGTAGCATGTCACAGGATCTCTTGCTTGGCTATTTCAGTGGACTGTGAGCGCCCTAATCCATAGAATTGTTCTGGATTCCTTTTGAGTCTCCAGTTCCTAGGATGGTCTTTAGCCATTGTAAGACTTTTGAGAATATTTTTAAATGAAGAAATGTTTGGATGAATTCAAACTCTGAAAATGTCTATGATACCTGGACGTTGTGGTACCTTATACACATAACTAGCTGTACAATAAAGAGAAATAAAAAAGGATCAATTACATTTTCTTTCTCAAAACCAACAGGAATCATTTTTCAGAAGAGTCTCCACATCAGCTTGGAAGCCAGGATGTTTCCATATAACAGAAATGCATTCTGGGGACAGAGAAAATAGAAATTCTTGCCTTCAGTCTCTCGATAGATGCTTTACATCAGTGATATTACATGAAGAGCATTTAGAAAGTCGGCTTCAGTGACTGCTGCTGTGGTTTGCAGGTATTGTCCCTTCAAAATTCATATGTTGGAACATAAACCCTGGGAAAATGGTATTAAGAGGAGGACCCCTTGTGATGTGGTTAGACTATAAGGCCTCCACCCTCATAGATGGTATTTATGACCCTCTAGAAGATGCTTCAGAGACCATCCATCTCTTGTGCTGCCTCCCAGGTTTCTGCTCTGGAGGCAGTGTTCATCTCCTTTTGCTCCTGTACCAGGCAAGGACTGCTCACACAGGGCACCATGTTGGAAATAGACACTGCTTGCCAAATGACAGACATCTGATGCTTGATACTGAATTAAGTCCAAAACCACAACTGTGAGAACTAAATTCCCTTTATTTATAGACAGTGGAGTCTCAGGCATGCTGTTACAGTACCACCATGAGGCTAAGACAACACAGACTCTTCTCAGTGGATCCAGGAAGGATGGGCTCTCAGGAGCGCCTGGAGTTGGATTTGACTGCAGTTCTTTTTCCTGTGCTCTGCATCCCTGTGAAGTGAAACTTGTCTCTAGGCAACTAAAATTCAAGGAAAAGATGATTTGTTGAGTTTTATGCCACTTTATTGTCACTCTGTGGCTCTTATTATTCATCTTTAACTCAAATTTCTTTACATTTACAGTACATTTCACCACTTGAGTATAAAGGGCAAAATTCACTTTATTGCACACAATTTCCTGACTGGTCATAGAAGCGTTAAGTGGGTATTTTCCCAATGTGTGAGGTGCACCCTGCTTTTCTAATTGGGTGTTTCTGAGGGATTTTGCCTATATTTTCTGAATTGAATCAAAACTTAACAGAAAGTAGAATTGTGAGGGCCTTTCATTTGGCCTTAGCATAATTATTTTATTCTAAAGAAAGAGAATGAGCATTGGAAGACCTGTAGCAGACCAAACAAATGTTAAAAGTTAATTTGATAATGAGGCCAGTATGACTTGTAAAGTAGCATTTTTAAAGAAGTTTACAGTGTGAAATTAGGAGAGACGTAGAACACAAAAATATGGAAGGAAAAAGTTAGATAAGTTTTATGAAAACAATTTTATAAGCAAACATTCTGTTCTCTGTTAACAGGTCACTCTTAAGACTGTAGCTAAAAAAGTTTACTTTCCTATTTCAAAGGGCTTAAGAATATAAATACTGAACAGATATTTCTCCAAAGGTACACAAATGTCCAGTAAATGAATAGAAAGATGTCCAGCAGTCTTGCACTTCCTTAATGGGAAATTTGCTTAGATGAATTGCAGACTAGAGAATTTTTAAAAAAGGAAATGAAAGAAAAGGAAGACAGTTAGGATGTTCCAGCTTGTACCACTAGGATGGGTATGTTTTGAAATGGGAGACAAATTAACCAGCATTGGTGAGATTGCGTGGGAACCGGAACACTTATATTGCTGGCAGTAGGGTTTCAGCCTCTGAAGTTCGGTGATTCCTCAAAAAATGAAACAAAATTACCATATAATGTTGAGATTCCATTACTATGTAAATACCAAATGTATTTTGAAAACAAGTATTGAAACAAGTACATATCAGAACTGCGTTGCAGGAAGTGGCGATAGCAGAGAGCTAACTCTATCAACAAGTGAATAAATAAACAAATGCCTCTATATATCTATATCTGTCTATGTTCATAGATATATGTAAAAGGGAATAAAATGTTGATACAGCCAACAATGTAAATGAACTTTCAAAATATTAAGCTAATGAAAGAAACTAGACATCAAGGTTCCTATAGTGTAAGGTTCCATATACAGGACCTACCCAGAGTAGCTCTATTCCATAAGGAGAGAATGTGTACTCTGGCTTCTAGGAAATAGGTAAAGGAGGGAATGGGGGGAAATTTCTTAGTGAATATGAGGCTTAATTTGCAATGGGGGAAATGCATTGGCACAAGGTTGAGGGGACAGTGTGCAGTATTGCAGTGTAGGAATTGCTCTGAATTACTCTCTTGGTTAATGTTTTGTTATCCGAATTTCCCTTTATACATTTAAAAATACAAATGTTGATAAATATTTCTATATGTATTTATGCAAATTATTTCTACAAGAAAAATGGCAATAGACAGCATCTAAATAAGACCTTAATCTTATCTTTAGGAGGAATTTGCTTTTGTTTTTTAATTAGCTACTGAGATCAGTGAATTTTGATTCTGGGATTTGAAAATGAAATTAAACTACTCAAAACACAATTTGCAATGCCAGAGGAATTTCTTGTTAAAAATAATAACAATAAGATTAATAAACAGCTGGAGGATACCTCTTCAAGAATATGATTTCATTAGCAATGGCCAAAATCATGATATGTTAATTTTTATGCATCTGCTGCAGATTGCTTTGGAAAGGGCTTCTAATTCTCACTTTCTTCCTAATAAACAGCTGTTGAATTGCTAGACTAAAATGATGTGGCTCTGTGAAAGTGATCACTTCCTTGTTGATTTTTTCTTAATTTTAATTCTCATGCAAGCGTAGAAACATCATATCTTACCCTAATCTGCCAGCTCCCTGTCTGTTATACAGCCACTATCACAATAACCCTCAAGGAATGATTTAACTTCATAATTATAAGGACTCAAAAACGATTGGGACAATGTTTTTCTTCTCTCTCATTTCCTCTTGTTGATTCTCTCCCCTGTAATTTGCTTTTCCTTTCGTGTTCACTATTGGGGCCCTGTAATACCCCCTGGTAGGAACAGAATGGGCTTTACTCGGTCTGTGGGGTGATGCACGCCTCCTCACAGCGGGGGGATACACAAGCGTACTGAACTGACGCTGGCTGGCTTTGCTTATTGCCTTTGAGAATTTGTCACATAAAGACTTCTGGCAACAAATATTAATTTTGGCTTTTAGAAAACATCAGTAGCTATTTTATGTCTGCAGATCAGTAATGATAAAGACATTGATATTATTTCATGTATCTTGCTATTACATAATTGAGCATACATATTCATCCTGGTCATATGGCCATGTAAATCCTTTGTATTCTACCCCAGAGATTCAAGTAGAAGCTGAGGGGCGGTTTTCAGTCCAGCTCCTTTCACTACTAGTGTTACTTGCAGTGAGGGAACTTTGGGCACTGAAAGATTAGGAAGTAAACTGACATTAGTAAGGATGAGATTAAGAAAAATGCAAATATATTATAAATGGGCTTTGAAGGAGCATAAGGAAAATTTAGATTTTAAAGGTAGCAAGAGGAGAAAACATAAGCTACTGAGCTTATGTCTTTGGAAAATTTAGCTCCCTTTCTGTATCAAAAATAATATTAGGGGCCAGGGATATAGCTCAGTGGCGTAAGTGCCTTCTTGGCAAGCACAAGATCCTTAGTTTGATTTCTGGTACCAAAAAAAAAAAAAAAAAGTACTAATAACCCCCTAGGTAATACAATACCAAAAAAATAGGAGATCTTCAAACAAATTATATGTCAAACAATATGAAAGTTCTACACTGGAACATGAGGAAGCAGTTGTGTAATTAAAAGCATGTAGGCTTTCTACTTCAGTTTTAAAAGTGCAAAGTGTGGGAGACCAGAGGAGAACTGAGGCCTGATCTGCCTCCTCTGTGAGCACCAAGGAGGAAGGCTGCACACAGGGATGATGTCGTTGCAGGTTCTAGGGAAAGGCGAGCACAGCCGGGTTCAGGTTGTGTGCCTGGGCACGTACTCAGCGGTAATGGGGGGCAGATGAAGCTTGTTCTACTTTCATTGCTTGTACCTGTGTCTGAGTGAATAGAAGCAGGACAAGCTGGACTCTCGGGGCTCCTCTGCCTACTAGAGGCAAGAGCCCCTGACCGCCACGTGCTAAACTGACTCTGTCTGTGTTTCATCTTTGTTCTCCCCTGGGTCCCCTGTAAGGCTAAGTCTCCTACCGCAACGGAAAGCATTGATGAATTTGTCAACATAAAAATTTAGAATGGCATAGTGAAGTGTATAAAGTGCAACATAAAATATAGACTGGCAGGAACTACCTACAAATACTTACTAAATAAGTTATCATCCATTACATATGCATACTTTTTAAAAATCCATGTAGTATTCCTAAAGAATTCAGGGAACAAGTCAAGAAGAGCATGTGAAAGGATAATTTATGGGGTGTCATACTAATGGTCAATGAGCACTTTTAAATGTTTCAATTTAATTGCAATCAATGAAAAGCAATTTTTTTTATATCAGTGAATAACATTTTTACAGTGCTGGAAATAATGGCAGTGTTTCTGGCATCTAGTATTCGACATGAGTCGAAACTATATTTTTATAAGTTTCTGATAGAAAGAGAGCCTGAAAAAACTTTTCTTGTGAATACCTATGTGTGAATATCTATCAGAAATTTAAATACACATAAATGACAAAAATGCTTTTATATGTGCCCATGTAAAGTCTGTACAGTGCTAGGCAACATTCAGAGGAGAATATGTCAAGAGGAATTTTTTTAAACAACATATGTGTCCATCTATGAAAAAATGTTTGATTAAACAATGGTATATATCGGCATAGAGAGTAACCTGAACACTTACGAAGCATTAGACAGCCAGACAGTGTGGAAATTATATTTCTGTTTCATCATTCTATGAGGAAATTTTGAAATATGCAAAAATATCACTAGTAGGTGCTAATTTTCACTTTAAACAATTCACCTGACTATGACTATCAAAATGTTTGACTGCATACAGGAAAGACCTGAGTGGTCGTTCACTGTTTTTCTTGATGAGCAGAAGAGAAAATTACAGGAGCAATGAAGCTGGCCCTCACACTGGCCCTGTAGACCTTGTATACCCCTAGGTCATTTGACATTTCCCTCAATGAATGCAATTTCTCAACAACTTTAAATACTATGAGTAATAAATGCATGGAGAAAAACAATGGATATGTTTGAGTTTTGCTTTTTATGCTTTTTAGTTGAGATTTTGCATAAATAAAGGTGTAGAAAGATAAGCTCTCCAAAACATTTGGTTGTCCAACAGCAAAAGCAATTAAAATGAAGTCTCTCTTCAAATTAACCTTTTGATGAGAT